GAGGGGGTATCAATGCAATTTTAGCATAAATAAGATAGTATAACCTCGTAGATACCAGTGAGCCAACAGAGCATATCCTGATAGATGGAGAAAGGATAGAACTATGAATATTTTCATTCTATTTGGATCCACAATCAACACCTCTGGTACTAGAAGTCAGGAGATCAGGAGGTGTATTGCTTTGGGAAAGTCTACAGTCAGGGACCTCTCTAAAATGCTGAAGAGCAATGATGTCAATTTGAAGACTAAAGTGTATCTGATTCAGGCTATGGTTTTTTAAATTATTTGCTTTACTTCTGAGAGCTATACAGTGAATAAGGATGACAGGAGAATTGATAGCTTTGAATTGTGGTTTTGGTGGAGAGTACCAAATATCTCATGGACTTCTAAAAGAATAAACAAATTTGTCATGGAAAAGCTGCAACAAAAGTGCTCTTTGGAAGCAAGGACAATGAAGCTGCATGTCTCATACTTTGGACATGTTTCTAAGAGAGATTATTCTTTTTAAAGGGATATCATGCTTGGAAGGGTGGAGGGTCAGCAAAAGAGAAGAAGAAACCCAATTAGGTGGATTGACACAGTGACTGCAGCAATGAACTGCAGTGTATCAGAGATGATGAGGATGGCACAGTTTAGAACAGGACCCAGGTCTGTTGCTCGTGGGGTCACCATGAGTCATACTCAACTCGAAGGTATCTAACAACACTTACTTGTGTTCAGGTGAAACCCATATCTAGACCAAGAGACTATGTCTGAACACAGCAAGGGAACACTGCATGGTTTAGTCAAGAAGAAGGTGTATCAGGGCTGTACTCTTTCTTCATACCTATTTAATCTGTATGCTAAACAAAGCATTTGAGAAACTGAATTTTATGTAGAAGAATGTGGTATCAGGATCAGAGGAAAACTCAGCAACCTGCATCATGCTGATGACAGAATCTTGCTTGCTGAAAGTGAGGAGAATTTAAAGTTCTTGCTGCAGATTAAGGACTAGTCTTTAATATGGAGTACATCTCAACATCAAGAAAATAAAAATCCTCCTCCCTCAGTCAATAAGCAACATTGTGATTGTGGCAGCTGGAGAAAAAATTTAAATTGTCATTTATTTCATCTTCTTTAGATTCACAATCAACACCCTTAGTATTAGTAGTTGGAGATCAGAAGACCTACCGCATTGGGAAAGTCTGCACTCAGGGACCTCTCCAAACTACTGATGGTCAATGATGTCAGTTTGAAAACTAAGGTGCATCTGATTCAGATCATGGTTTTTCAATCATTTGCGATGCATTTGAAAGCTGAATTATGAATAGGGGGTAATAGAAGAAGAATTGATGCCTTTGAGCTGTCGTATTGGAGAAGAGTACTGAATATTCCATGGACTGACAAAAGAACAAATATAGATATCTTGGATAAAGTACAGCCAGAATTTTCTTTGGAGGCAAGAATGGTGAAACTCTATCTCATGTACTTTGGCCATGTTGTTACGAGGCGTTGGTTCATGCTTAGAAAGGTGGTAGGAAAGTATAAGATAGGCAGATCCACAAGAAGATGGATTGACATGGTGACCATATCAATGGGCTCAAATATGCCAGACATGGCGAGGATGGCACAGAATAGAACGGTGTTCAGATCTGCTGTTTGTTGGTTGCTTAGATGTCCTCTCTGGTGAAATTTTATTCACACACTTAAACAATATTTTTAAAAACCCCTTTTTCCTTTAGGGGACATTTTACAGAACAAAGCAGTTTCCACTCAACAATTTATGCACAAATTGTTTTGTAAACACCACAGTATATTACCACTCTCTTCTTTTCTACCCTGGGCTTTCTGCTTCCATTTGTCCTATTTCCCTCCTACTTCCTGCTTTCTAATCTTAGTTTTGGGTCAAATGTGGCCCGTTTGGTCTCATATACTTCTTTATTCTTAATGCGCACACATCTCACAGATATTATTGGGTTTTTTTAATAGTACTGTATAGTATTTGATCAAAAAGTGAACTTTGGAAGCAGCTTCAGTTCTGAGTGAAAGGTGTCCAGGGCCTATAGTCTCCAGGGTTCCTCCAGTCTCCATTTTTTTGATTGTTGTCTTTTTTATTGTTGCAGTACCACAAGTTTCTATAGATTTTTGAGGTTGCTTCCAAAGATTTAATCCCAGTTGTAGGTTGCCTGTTCACTCTTTCAATAAAAATCTTCTTTTGTGCATAGTTTCAAATATTTATGGGGTCCCATTTAGCTATTTTTGTTTGCTTCTATTCACACATTTGTTGTTATGTTTATTATCCTATTTTTACATATGGTTAGATATTTTGTTTTTCTATGTTTTATCATGGGAATTTTATGGGTTTAGGCTTAACATTTAAGTTTTTATCCAGTTTTGTTTTTGTGTATGGTATAAAGTATGGGTCTTATTTAATTTTTCTTCGAACACATATACAGTTTTGCCGGCATCATTTATGAAGAGTATTATTCACCACTAATGAATGCTGAGTTCTTAAAAGTCAGATATCTACTCATCATTGGGAACTTTAGTGGCCTAGTGATAAGGAGTTATACTCTCAGCCTAAAGGTATGCAGTTCAAATCCACCAGCTGCTCTGCGGAAAAAAGAATGGGTAATTGCTTCTGCTTAGTGCTCTAGCTATAACTCCCAGCATAATGTTGAATAAGAGTTGTGATAATGGGCATCCTTCTCTCATTCTGTTCTTAAGGGGAAACTTTCAGGCTTTCTTTGCTGGGCATAATATCGGCTGTTAGTTTTGTATATGTTGTTGTTGTCGTCATTGTGTACCATCAAGTCAAAATCAACTCATACTGACCCTCCAGTAGGTTTTCAGAGGCAGTTAATCTCATGGGAGAAATTGCCCATCCTTCTCCTGCAGAGCAGCTGGTGAATTCAAACAGTGTGCCTTTGGGATTGCAGCACAGCTTCTTGCCACTGGACCACCAGAGCTCCCTGTTTATATATATCCCTAATTACATTAAGAAATTTCCTTTATTCCTATTTTGAGAGTTTTATTAGGGAAATACGTTGAATTTACTTTTCTGCATAAATTAGTAGGATCATATAGTCTTTCCCCTTGTGTTATTTATGAAGTCTGCATCGATTTTTCTAATGTTGAGTGAGCCTGTCCTTAGAATATGAACCCCCATGGTCATGGTTTATGTTTTATGCATATGTTGATGAAACTGGTTTGCTAGAATTTTGTGGAAAATGTTTGCACCTATGTTTAAAAGGGAAATTGGCTTGTAATTTTCTTTCTTTTTTCCTTTAAACATATTTAGCACCATAGAGTGAATACTTTTTCAATTCACTCTGTTAGTCTGACTTTCATTGAAGACATTTCCTTATCTTCATGTTTCTTTTGATTGATAAATGTCATGTTATTTTGTTAGGTTTATTACTTTTCACTGAACATGGGTCATGTTAGTATTTATTTATTTATTCACTTACTTCAAACTTTGTATTATTTTTTTGGTGAGGAAGTTTCTGATTGGATATTCTGGTGACACATTGGCCAAGCACCCATTTACCAAATGAAGACTGAGGCCCTCCCCCACCTGCCACTCTGGGAGGAAGATGCAGGAGCCTACCTCTGCAAAGAGGTTCAGCCCTGGAAATCTCTCAGGGAAACTCCACTCTGTCTCCCTCTGTCTCTTTGAGTCCAAACTGACTCTTCAGAACTGGATCTGGTGTCATCTCCTGAGAATGACTAGAAGGCATTCTTATGCTTAGGTAGGTTGGTTTCAATCTTACTTTAGTAGTTCCAGACACTTAATCTCTTGAATTCAATATCCATGCATGAGGATAGGGGTCTAGCTGCTTTCAGATGCTGTCTTAAGTTGTGGGGCTTGACTTTCCAGTGGCAAAAAATGAGTGCTGTTACCATCTTTCCCCCCACAGAAATCCCTGAGCACCCATGATGCCTCACTGAGAGCAGCCAGCCATCTGTTTTCCTCTGTGTTGCACCAACTTTTAAAGTATTCTCCTTCCCCAGCTGCTTTTGCAGTTCATCCTTGTCCTAGTGCTCATCCATCTCAAGCCTCTGCTTGATTCAATGCCCTAACCGTCTTGCAGTTCTCTCTTCATCCATACAACTTACAAACTCCCACAATTAATCTGTATTGTCTTAGGGAACTTGGGCCACAACTGTTTCATATCAGCTTTCTTTCTATGTTTCCTTTTGGGGCTTTCACCACACTTTATCACCAAATAGCTGTGATGAGTGAATGCCCTGGATATGAGAGGGTAAGATCTCCCAACTCTGTGTGGTCCCTGTTACTCCTCTTTCCTGCTTGTGGGACTTTCTAACACCATTCTCCAGTGTTTTGGTTATTATTTGAAGTTCTGAGATGTCCATCTGTGCTTCTTTTTATTCATTGTTCAGTAAGTTGTTTGGTAGGAAGTAAATGGGAACATCCACTTACTTTGGCATGTGGCTCCGTCCTTCAACTTGTAAGATCTTAACAGCACCCCAATTTGCTATTAAGGAAACCTAGACGCAAAAACTTCAACTGACTTCCCCTACGTCACAAGGTAAAAATAAGACACAACAGGATTTCTTCTTGATCCTAGCATACATATATGCATAATTTTGCTTTTATTTATGTCAATGAACTAAATTTAAACACCCAAATTTTTTAAAAATACCCAAATTTTTAATTGAAGATTTTCCACTTACTTGATATATGATATTGGACAAATAATCTTCCCAAATGCTAATGTCTTGATTTTTAAAATAGGAAATATATTAACAGCTGCAAAAATTTTTCATTTTCATTGTATCATTTAACACATACAACAAATTTATATCAACATCACACCCAATTTTCTGTTGAGGGTACCACAATACAGAAACAATTTCTTTATGGCTTTTTTCCCCCCTCATGAAATAATACATATGAAGAAGTCCAGAAATTTGAGGACAAGAAGGCTTCCTGGTCTTCCAGGCTGCCCTTGCCTCCTTTGAAAGTTTTGTCCTCTCACTTTTTAGCCAAGCTATACCTGTCTGTGGACACACAAAGCCTTCACATCGTACTTGACTTCGGCATGGTCTGCTGGTAACACAATCTTCTGCTTCTTTATCAAAGAAGCTGCATGGTTCTCCATGAAATTGAGATGGCCGGAGCACTCGAATATGTCTGTACTGTGGCAGAAAAGAAGTAAGGTCAACTCAGGGCATCAAGATAGGAAGTAAAAGCACAGCAAGTCAATGACTGTTGGCAAAATAGTGTGCCCACACTCCTCCCCCTAAATACCTGGGTCCTAACTCCAGAACCTGTGAACGTCTTCCCTCCCATGGAAAGAATGGACTTTCTAGATGTGAGCAAACTAATCCCATCTCAAGGATCTTGAGATCCAGATTATCCTGGATTATCCAAGTGAATCTAAAGTAACCTTAGGGACCACCAGAGCTGAGAATAACCTATACAAATAGACTGTGTTTTGAACTTCAGGCAAAGCATGATGTTGTCAGATTCCTTACCTTCCAAGCCCTTCATGCTTTCCCTACTATGTATATACTTAAAAATTCCTGTTGTGATTATGTATATACTTAAAAATTCCTGTTGTGATTGGCTGTTTGCTGGCTTTTCCAACTAGACTACAACTACTCTGAGAGCAGAGGCCTTGTCATTGATCTCTATCTACAGTGAACAGAAAATACTTGCTCAATTTGGTAAAAAGTGTAGGATTTGGAGTAAAAAAGGCGATGGTTGCCTTCATGTAGCTCTTTGAGTAATCAAATAATCTCTCAGACTGGTGACTAATACAGTGTATTAGGTAAGTATTCTTCCTCCTTAAGGTAATCAGTATATTATCAATGAAAATAGCATGTGTTTGGGGTCAAAATTGACTCTCACATTTTGTAGTTTTTGTTGTCAGATGTCTGAATAATGCCAGAGAGCTTTTTGGAGGCTGAATGATGAAGCTTTGCCTCACATACTTTGGGCATGTTGTTAGGAAGGGCTATTCCTTAGAGGATATGATGCTGAGAAGGGTGAAGGGTCGGTGAAGGAGAGGAATACGGTCTACCAGGTGGATTGACCCTGTGACTGCTGCAATGAGCTCTTGCGTGTCAGGAAGTGTGAAGATGGCACAGGAGGGAACAGGGTTCAGATCTTACATTCATAAGGTCACTGTGAGTCGTATTCGACTCGCCGGCACCGAACAACAACATTATTCAGAACAAGACAAAACATTGTCAATCCTGTACAACTCACACCATCTCCGCTGCATTTAAGCCTACTGTTAAGCCACTGTGTAGATCCATCTCCTTAAAGGTCGTCCTCTCTGTCACTGATCCTCTGCTTTCCCAAGCATGGTGTCCATCTCCAGGGACTGGTCCTTTCTGATAACATGCCCAAAATATGGGAGACAGACTCTCATCACTTGCTTCTAAGGAGCATTTTGGCTGCTCTTCTTCTAAGACAGATTTGTTTATTCTTTCGGTAGTCCATGGCATGTTCAATATTCTTCACCATTACTAGGATTGAAAAGCATAAATTCTTCTCAAGTCTTCCTTATTCATTTTCCAACTTTCACATGTAAATGAGGTAATTGAAAATGCCATAGAAATTCCGAGGTGGTATTAGACAAGTTAATCAACATTTAAAATCTTACTTTGCTTATCTATCAAAAGGGACGAATGAACTATGTAGATGTACAGTTAATTAATAGAAAATATAGACAATAAACTATATATAACTATATAATTAATTATATAATGATTTATATAATTGATACTCAATCTCTTACACTTATTTTAATTTTCCTCTTAAGGATTTTTAATAAGCATTATTACTAAAATATTTAGTAACTTTATCTCCACCTTTTCCTCACTTATATGAAACATATCATTATGCTCAGCATAGCTGCCCAATGTTGAAAAAAGTATTAATACAGATTTTGTTCATTGTTTGCCATAATCATACTTCCTAACCTTCTTCAAGGAGGTTGCACATGGTGGTAGGACTGGTGGGCACCAGTTGATCACAGGACAATGTGGTGTGTCATGACTGAGAGAAAGGGGCAAAGGGGTCTGTAAACTCAAAGAGCAATGCCAGTGCAAGTTAAGGGATGCACGAAATCTTACAGAAAAACTGATGTACAAACTGAGACCCTAAGGGGAGTAGGGGCATCTGGTAAAATTTAAAAACTCGCGTAAGGAGGGCAGAGAAAAGCAACTGAGTGGAAGAAATTTTTGAGCCAAAGCTGAGAAACTAAAGAAAATGTGGCTTGTCATAAAAAATAAGAAGATACTCACCATAGTTGGAAGAGAGAGTGCAAGAGGGAAAATGGCAAAAGTTGGAGGGACACAGGTAGCATGAGCACCAATGAGGCATTTTTCCCTGTGGCCATAAGAAGCCACTAAAGGATATTATGCAGAGAGTGGAAGTGATTAGATTTGGTTGATTTCCAAATGCTATTTGCAATCAAGATTTCAGTGCACCAAATGGGCAAACTAGGATAGCAGACCCTCAGCAGAACAACACTTTAATAAAACAGAGTTATTACTGGTATGGTATCTGCATGCATGCTTTGGAAAGCCATTAAAGAAATACAAATAGCAATTGATTTTAAGCTTTTCTTTACTCCCAGAGGGTCTTTCTTCCTGAATGACAGGTCCTGGCAAAATAGGGACAAGGTCTTCAAAAAAGACAGCTAGAAGCCTAGCCCTAGGCTCTAATGAGAAGCTGAGTTTGAGGAGTATATTAAGGATGAATGAAATACACATCTCAATATGAGTTGAAAGGGTTTTCCATACCCACCTCCACCCCCCATCTGGTGGCCTGCAGACAGCAATGATGCCCAGCTGATGTCTACAGCAAACTCTGAGCAAAGAGGGATGTCTGACTGCTGGCTGGATGACTCATGCTGAGGCGTCCTGCTTTATGGTGCAGATGAAGCAATTATCCAGATAATTGGATCAATGTTGATAACTTCAGCAATAAAGCCTACTTTGGGAACTGAATAATCCTGCTTGGCTCTCAGCATTGATCCAATTAACTGTGTAATTGTCCTGGGCCTACTTCCACAGTCTCGTTAGACCAGCTCATGACTGGTTCGGGTTCCCAAGAAACTGGAAAAATGGCAACTGTTCTCTTTTATCTGACACGTCTGTTGTTCTCAGAACCAGCATCCCAAGGCAGCCTTCCCATGAAAGAAATCTGAAGAACAAGTACTTCAGGAACTGCAAATCTGCATGTTTTTATTGATTAAAAGTGAAATAAAGAACCCAATGGTATATCAATAAAAAACACATTTTCTGGAGTCTTGGTTTATGCAGCTGCCCAATTGAAAGTGTAACAATTAACTTCCTTAAATGTCCAAAAAGTATCAAATGAAATAAGAAAATTTTATGGAGCATCCACTGGTTTTATACATACTGAAAATAGGAGATTAAATAAACCTTCAAGAGTTCACAGTTTAGTAAACAATAGCTTATGATAAATAGTAGGATACAAGAGGGAGCTGTTGAAACTGAAAGTTTGCCTTATCTAACTTAATCCAAGGCTTAAGGGATGTTAAGAAAGTCTTAACAGAAATGGTGCTGAGTAAAATTCCAAAATATGAGTAGGAGTTAGCCAAGAGAAGGAGGTAGCAAGAAACATTCCTACCTACCAAGAAAGCAACAGACATAAAGTCCTAGAGATGGCAGAGAGTGACATTAGAAAAGAAACAAATGATATCAGATGTCTGAAGAAAGAAATGTTTCATGGAGATGTAGGTCAAGGTCATAGGGACTTAGAATACCATGAGTCTGGACTTGATTCTATGACTATGATAAACTGAGTAATTTCAAGCTGGGGAAAAAAAGAGCAGATTTGAATTTTATTTTTTTAATACCTTTCCTAACCGGTTTTATCATGTGTTGAAATAGTTAGCTTGGAGTCAGGAAGTCCAATTAGGAAGCAACTATATGTAGTGAGCAAGAAGAAATGTGCGGTGGAAAACCCTGAGAGGCCAGAGAAAGGATCTAAATGCTACTGGGAAGCTCAGGACGAACAATTCACTTAATAACTACCAGCATTCACCAAAGGCCTGGGATCGCAGAGCCTGGGCACTTACCCTTTTCTTCTGGCAAGGATCACATGCTGTCCAGGAGGACCAGCTGGACAGCTGGCAGTCAATAGGCATTGGGATGTCATGCATACTGCGTGCCTGTCTGCTCTTGGCAAGGCTCTCATTGACTGCGTTTGACTCAAGGGAATGCAGCCTTTCACCTCTATGAAGGCATTTGGAGAGAAGAGAGCAGAGTTTCAGAAATAAATCAAGCATATAGCCAACCATCTATACACTCATTCAATAAGTGCATTTTGCTCATTTATACAAGGCTATTAGCTTCTCTTTCAATATCGGTTAACTAAAAACACAGCAGAAAAACTTGATGAAATATGTTTACGGCATTGAAGTCTATGGGGGAGAGAATAGTCTAAAAGAATTATATTTTAGGGCATTATTTTTATCGTAGGAGTACGCAATGAGGGTTGCAGAGTGGATTATATTTGGGGGTAGGGTGTGGGGTTTGGGGAGGTGCG